TTAAAGACAAGTAAACAGTCAGTAATAAGATAGGAACAAACAAATCAATTAGCAATATCATAAATAAATACAACTGAACAAAATTTCAGGTACAGAAACTGTAATTAAAAGTTTAAAAACACTGCATAGTTTTCTTTTCATAAAATATAGATTAATCAATTAAAGTTATTAAATATATTCAGTCAAGATCAGTGAATGATTTTCTTTTGTTCTTCGATTAACATTAATGACAGGCAGCACGTTTATTAGGCTGCTGTCTCTTTAACACTGAACGCAAGCAGATCTAAAAATACTGTACATGTGTTTTCTTTCTCATCTGTTTATGTTCACGTAAGACAAAAACGGCTGTGTTTATGATGATATACTGACGTAGTTTTCTGCATATTGGTCGACAAATATGAAAGAAGTCAGTTTCGGCCAGGAACAACCTTTTCTACAGTGGAAATACACGGAACAGTTCGAGAACGGACACAAACCGGGAACCCGTACCGCAACCTCTGTTCTCTGTGCTCGCGCTTCGTGTGGGCGCAAGTTCTTTCCGTTCCTGCACTTAAATCATTTTCAAATCACATTAAAATGCGAACGCAGGAAGCGTTAAGCAGAATCGAAATGCACACGTCTTATCGAATACCCGGTTCTTGGAAATTTGGAACCGGTTCTAAAATGGAACCGGTTTTCGATACCCAACCCTACATATTAGTAGAATTAGCATAAAAATACACTGGCATGTTGTTATTCTTTTGTTTTTGTTCTGCCTCCATCCTGCTACTGGCAACAAATTTGCCATTATGAAGAAGGAACAGTCTATCCATGATGAACAAAAAGACAATGATGTAGGTCAATAACAAGACTGGCCTTAAAACAACAACAATGTATTGCTGGATAGCTGGATTTAATAATGTTTTTGTAGGATTATAAATTGTATGGTAGGTGAGGTCTGAACTACTGTATGTCAAATTGTGTAAAATGATCAATGCAGGGGTTTTCAAAACGGGGTCTGGTTACCCCCAAAAGGCCATTCTTTTTTTAAAATACACACAAAATGTACACACACCGCATTTATTAATATTTATCCATATATATATATATATATATATATATACACATTATTATTATTATTTTTTTTTTTTACAAATTTTCTAATTACATATAAAATATAAAAATATCTATATTCATTTTTATAGTATACTACAGATTCATGAATTTAAATCAAAATAATTTATTTCTATTGACAGTACTAAGTTTAACTAGTAAGAAATAGGCTAAAAAACAAATCTATTGTTTATTAATAAGCTTTCATATCTAACATTAAGAGTGGAAAGAAGAAATATATATTTGAAAGTCCCTGGATCAATAAATAATTATAAATTCAAGACTAAATATCCCTTTTGTTATGAAAATATGTAGAAAAGTACTTCCTTTGGGACACTGAAGGGTTTAAAGGATGAATTAGTAATAAGAGCCAACATTCACTGAAAAATCTGAATAAGGTGGAACCATGTAAATGATTATATTCTCTGAATAATCTCCCTTGATCAGACCCATGATTTACATGCCATTTCAACCTTTCAACCTTTTAATCAATAATCTGATTCACGAAGCCTCTTACGTAGCTGGTATTAACCTCCTTAAATGCACCTTATTGGTTAATTATTGTACCGAACACCATTTTAGTGCTGAAACGCAACTCAGCTGGCTGTTTTGCATGAGCTGAAAGATTTTGCTTCATGAGAGGATTTAAAAGGACACGTGGCACAGAAATATTTCTGATAGCATGCTGGCTAAGCTATTGTATGTTAACCGGTCTGTTGTGATACGTGGTCAATGCAGTACCATCTACATATGCGCGACCCTCTGTTTACAACCGCATTATGAAACAGTTGGGTCCCTGTCGCAAAACCAATTATTCAGTGACGACTTTTCCTAGAAAATACAATCTGCAGTGGGCAACAATAGGTTCAGCATAGTGGCAAAGGCAAAAAGATTCCATTTCACAACAAGAGAGCCTCTTTGAGCTTTGTTGTTTGTCCAGTTCATTGCCCCTAGAGTAGGCTTGACCCTTCTCTCCCACGGATAGTCTCTGTGTAATCTATAAAGCTATTGAGCTCTGACTCTGAAACTCTTTTTTCTACTGTTCTCACTGCACTCAACTGTAACAGCCTAAAGAGAAACACAAAAGGCTAAGATTTCACCAACAAGCTCGGAAAACTCCTGAGTAACAGCATCCTAATTCAAACCAGCAGAGCTAAAGCACTTAGACTTAAAAACATGATACAACTCAAATTCCAAGTCTCACCTGCAGTTCACACCAGGCAACTTCCACCCAGGTTTCCGTGTCCAGGCCTTTGTAAACGGTTTTGAACGCTCCTCTGCCAAGCTCAATGTCAAATTTTAAAAAGCGGCCACTGGGTGAAGTGGCAACGGCCTTCATCTCAGCCTCTTCTTCCTGTTCTTTATCTCTCTCCTTCCCCTTCAGAGCAGGCGCCGTAAGGCCGGTCTTATCAGGATCCTGCGTGCCATGAGTGCCATCCTCACCCAAGGCAGCCGAGGCACTGGCGGGTAACTGCTGGGCTCCGCTGGTGAAAACAGAGTCGGAGGCACAAAACTCGAGGTGAGGGGTGCTGTGAAGGGCACCGGGGGTTTCTTCCACCTCATCATCCTCTTCGCATATCTCCACACTCTTCCGGAAAAAACGCTTGTTCTCCTGTTTCCGACACGGTTCGTGGGCTGCCGGAGAGGAGTGCATGAAGAAGGTCAGAGGTCTGGCTGGCACCTCTGTTTCTTTACCGTCCTCCACTCCGCCACCTCCTCCTCCTGCGCCCCAAGCTCTCCTTTCCTGGGTCTGGGAGGAGGGGAAGTCAGACGGAGTGCTGTGCATTCTCTCTCTCTCCCTGGGGGCCCTATTCCCCTGGTCACTCTCCTCCTCCCTCTCTCCATCAGGTTTCTCTCCAGAGGACTCATCAGTGGCAGTGGGCTCTCCCGGGTCCGTCGCCATGGCGATTGACCTTTCCCACTCCTCCACCGCCGCCGCCCCCTCCTGCACTCTGGCTCTCTGTCAGTCCCCGTCTCTCTCACTCTGTGATCACCCTATCACCCTCTTATGAAGTTCTTCAGCCGTTCCTTCCAGTGTTGCCAGCTGTCAGCGACAATAATTACTCTCTCTTTTCTACGGCTCTAATCTTTCACGCTCGCTCGAGTTCACAGGAGTATCAGAGGGTGCTTGTTTTTTTTAGTATATCTGCAGGTTAATTCAGTTTTTGCTGCGTACTTTCCTTATCTCCATTTCCTGCATAGAGGTTCTTGTGGCTGGCTCAGATGTGACTGATTCCCAGGTGAATGGCCTTCAGTGAGGGGGGATTTTCAGGTGTATCCTACAGAAGAAAAACACAGGGTATCATCGAGTAAGAGCATTTAAACAGTCTTCATTTAATAAACATTATACAAAGTCGAAGGGCCACATTTTTCATTATACTGTATAACATATTATAAATACATATTTTAATGTTTCTGAAAAAAGTCTGTATATTCAATGAAAAAAAAACAGTACTATTGTGAAATATTATTACAATTTAAAATAACTGTTTTCTGTACATTTTAAAATGGCAAAGCTAAATTTTCAGCAGCCATTACTACAGCTTGGATGTCATATGATCTTTCATAAATCATTCTAATATGCAGATTTGGTGTTCAAGAAACATTTCATATGATCAATGCTGAAAACAGAAAACAACAGATTGTTTTAGAAAGTTAAAACGAACAGCAATTACTTTAAATAGAAATGTTCTTTAACACTATAAATGTCTTTGCTGTTACTTTTGAACAATTTAATGTCTGCTTGTTGAATGGAAGTATTAATTTAGTTTAAAATAAACAAAAAAATATGTACTGCTCCCAAACTTTTGAACGGTATATTTTTCAATACGTAGACTAAATTAAAACCACTTCTTAAGCATAGTTCTTTGACCTTGATTAAAAACTGCAGTGGAAATTCTCAACTTAAGCTTATTATTTCTTAATTTGTGCATAAACTTACTAAAACACTGACTAAAATATATAAAAATATTTTTATTTAATTTCTGGTACATTTTAGAATACACATCATTAAAAGAGGGTAGGACTTTCAGCTACGGTTTAAAGTCTATATCATTGGGCCTATATTTTCATTATCATTTTCCTATATCACAGGAAAAAATAAAATCTGTGCCTGTTCACAACTGTCACTAAAAACTGTTCAAATGTGCATTTTGCCAAGGGTACTTTGAATAACTTATGAAAAATTAATAAATCAATTAAGGTGACTAGTATCCCATCTATATTCTAAACAAGAGCCCTCAAACACAGGGGAAAGTAACTGACTAATCCAGTAATTAAGTTGTCCAGAAGCATGACGGGTACCAGTGCATAACAAATCCACACAGTGCGAATTAATATTAGCCATTGAAAAACTAAAGGAATGCAGCAGCTTGTGATTGATTAATAATGAATGATGGCATAAAGGCCCTTTAGGGTTAAATAATTCAGAGGCAGGGCGGATACAGAATGAACATGAGTGACCACCACAGACCATCGCTACGGGATCAGATGCTGTAAAAACTGATTATTAATGGTAGCCAGCAGTATTGCCCCCAGATGAGGAGCATTACAGCTTCTTATGTTTACAGTGAGTGGATCTTCATTGTTCTTCTACACTGTTAGACATTTCTGTCATTTTTTTTACAGTTATTTACTGTAGATCACCCAGTATAATACTGCAAATTCCCTTTACAGAAAATAACCGTAATACCCTTTGCATCATGGGAATTTTCAGTGACGTCAAACCCCAAATACAGAGTTGTATTTTTTTAAATTGCTGTATACTACTGTATTTGCCGTAACAGTCTCTTTGGTGCCATTCAATTGAGGTTGCTTTATTTTCCTTTATATTTGGATTGACAAGATTTGACAAATCCTCGTACGCGCCACTCGCGTCCGAGGAAGACACGGATCTAGCGGGGCAGCTCCGCAGGTTTTGCCCGTGGATGAACCCGTAAGAGTGGAAGAGTTTCAGAGAACATCTGCGCTGTGTGTCGATGCACCTTACAAGAGAATAAGACCAGCAAGCAAGGTAAAAAATATATGTACGTTTGTCTGTGTCAGATTTTTGCACACCAGTTTAACCTAGTAATATTTACCTGTCAACATAGCAGTAACAAACTTTACTATGGTAAACTGCGCCATCCTTTCAAACGACTTTTGTCAGCTTATTGAATTACCAAATTAAAATTCCTTTTAATGAGCAATGCTTATCTTGTATTAACATTAAGTTAACTAATGTGAAATTTTGTTCAGGTGTTAGTTAATGTTGGCCTGTAGCCTACTGAGAAAATAAAATCGTATGTTAGCTAGGTAGGGCATTCAGATGTCCCGATTCGATTCGATTTCGATTCGCAAGCTCTCGATTCGATTCTCGATTTTTTGATTACATTCAGTGAATATAGTTTTAATACAAATGCTATTGATATTTCTAAAAAATGAACAGTAAACATAAATGTACAAATGGTGAACTAATAAAAATAAATTAAGCCACATGGCTGTATTTTAAACCTATACTTTTTTTTGTATGGGTCCTTTTTTAAACAATAATAGGGCCCTATAAAATGTTCTTAATTTTTCTGGTAATCAGATGAAGGCATAAAACATTAATTTAATTTATCCTAATCAAATGAAAATTAAAGCCTTTTATTTTTTGGCAAACAAAGTGGTGCACAACAGAGGTTTACTGTTAAAATTAAAAAGAAAACAGATGTGATTATTCCTTTAAAAATAAAGATTTATTAATATTTATTAGCAGTGGTAGCACTGATTGTCAAGACTGCTAAATAGTAATATATTCTGACAGTTTCTTAACGTTAAACTAAACTTTTATTTTGACGGGTTGCTGTGAAGAACTTGCAGCTGCTGTGTATGTGATACGATGGTAGTTTTGTCAAATGAAACGGTAAAATGCTAATTAAGTGACTCTCAGAGCAGCTGGAGATGACATTCTTGTTCATATCATCATATAGAGAGATGGCAGAAGCGGAAAACACCACGAGCGTCATCCGCGCTTTAGTATGTGTAAACAAAACAGTACGCCGCGCCATCCATTCATTGCGAAATCATGGCACCTTATGCGTGATATCAAATGCTTCTGCAGATTTATAGTATTACTATAGCATTTCACCTGAGCATTGCGAATCACGCGTATGGCCATGATAAGCGCTGAATGAATGACAGGCTTTCTGTTGTAACATCGCGCAAGGTAAATAAGGGTGACATCTAGTGGAGAAGACTAATGATAAGATTCACGTTAATCAGATCTTATTTTAAATGTGTGCTGAAATAAATACCGGAAAAGATCGATTCGTGGCTTTTGAGAATCGATATCGAATCGACGTCATTTAAAAAACCATTAATTGAAAAATAGATTTTTTTTGCCCAGCCCTATAGCTAGGTAAAAAGTTTTATGGCTAGCTGCCTTTCTAGTTTTAGAATTAGTTTGTTATAGTTTTTAATGGAATTTAAGATTTACTGCATTTTTTGTATTTGTGTTTTTAAAGTGGTCCTATTATGCTTTTTCACTTTTTTAATTTTAGTCAGTGTGTAGTGTGTATGTTTGGGCATAAAAAAGATCTAGAAAGTTACAAATCTCAAAGTCCACTCCAAAGGGAGATAATTCGTTTCTAAAAAATCCCTTTTCAAGAACTACAACGAACGGCTCGTTTTGACTACAGCGTTGGTTTCCGGGCTTTGTGATATCACAAAGCAGCTCATAAGAATTTCATTACAAAGAATTCCCGCCTACAGAAATTCGAATGGTTGGGGGGTGTGGAGGGGCGAGGTCGTGGTTAGAATGCTTGGTTGAGTGACTGCATCAGACGAGACGACGAAGAAGAAGAGCTGCTGTGCTGTAGCCTCAAATTTTTGGCATGTCTAGAACAGAGGTTCTCATTTCCAGTCCTCGCATACCCCCATACAAAGGGCATTTAAGTGTGCGAGAAGTGAATTTAAATTGTATTTATTTACAGAGGTATATTATGTCCCACTTCACGCTTCTCTAGTAAGTTTCGTTTGTGTGTGAAGACGCTGCAGGCAGCGGCGGAGCACAAACCTGTAAATGAATATTCAGAAGTGAAGTAAACTTCAACGGATTTCCCCTGCTCAGGGAGTAGGGAGCAATGGACACTGTGTAGGGACCATGTCAATCGGAACACAGTTCATGCACGGAGCTCACTTCTAACAAGATGATGATCTGAATCAGGTGTGTTAACAAAGAGAGACGTGCAAAACATGCAGAGTGGGGGTACGCGAGGACTGAGAACCATTGGTCTAGAACAATTCTTACAAGTAAAACACGACGTAGTTAGGCGCCGCAGACAGACGCCGCCGGTGTGCCTACACTCACTCGAATTTTAAAGACGTGGCGCAATGCTGCGCTTCTCGTCCGGTGTGCGACCACCTGAAACGCTGTTTTTTTTCACTTCCGAAAGCAGATGTCAGGAAACAGTGGTTGCAATTTACTTCTGAACTCTGTTCCTGAGCATTATAACCCCAATTTTCTATTGTGTGCTGCGCATTTTACTGAGGACAGCTTCCATATCACGAGTGAGAAGTGCCGGATTCGCCAAAAGGTTTTGTTGAAAGACGGAGCAAGGGGGCGCGGCAGTACTGAAACACCGTCTAAGCTGTTCGCCAATCACAACGCACTGGGACAGCTAACCAATCACAACACATTTTGTTTTTCGGAAGGTGGACCTTCATCAAAGCTGGAACTAATCGAGCCGTTTGTGCCAAGATGGGGAGAAAGGTATTTTAATAATGTAAATTATGTGAAAAATAATGCGTTTTTCGAACCACCAAGCATGAGAGCATGTTCTAGTACACCCCCAAAACAAAATCAAGACTTTGTAAAAGAGCATAATAGGACCCCTTTAAAGGCAACTGCAATGAAGCATCAAGAAAGACATGAGCATGCCAGCCAGCCTGAGACTGATAATTCTTGGTAAGAGAACAACTTTGAACAATATAACTTGAGAGGTTTGTGTATTCTGTATGGGGTTTGCCTTATAAAAGTGTGTCATTTCTACTTGTTTTTCAGATAAGACATTTCTGTCACTAACAGTGGATGGTGAGCAAAGGTGGTGGCCACGTTTTGAAGCAGCACCTGGGTTTTGCAGATGGCTATGTATTCTTTGGCTGCTTATCTTTTTCCCCCATTATGTTTCTGTTGCCTAAAGATTCTTTGTTAGGATAAATCCAGATGATACAACATAATGCACTGCAAAATGTCCTAAGACATTAGAAATGGTGAAGATGCACTGTTCCAGCATTGGAAGACTGTATTTTTAAGTGT